AAAGTAAGACTTGATTTTGCAGGAGTGGAGTGATTTATCTTTTGTATCCACTTCTCTAACTGCAGCCTGTAAAGACCCTAAAGAGCCCACTAGTCAACAATTTCCTTACTCCAACCAGTGAAAAATCAGATTTAAAATGCATTTAACTGATGCTCCATTCCACATTTAATACCTCTTGATTACTGTGGTCACAGCATAAATAAATACATTTGGTAGCTTACTGGATCGTGCATATGTTGGATGTGTTTCTCCTTCATCAGAATACTCCTTTTATCAAAGATAGCTGCTGTCATAGAGCCCCAAGCTGTTGATTAGGTAAAAGGGAATGCCATATACGGGAAAATAAACCAACACCCACAAGCTAGCTTCTTACTCAAAAATAATGAGATTTCTTTTAGAAAATTCAACTTGTTGTTTTCTATTTGAATACTTTCTTAAAATTAATAATCATGACTAGGCTTCACGAACGAAGATTTGGGAAGGGCTCTACCCACATTTGCTACAGGCGCGCTGGTGGCTAAAGAGGCCAATGCAAGATAGACAAGATCGGTTGCAAAAGGCACAGCAGAAAGACTCCTTGGATGGTATCAGCAGGATACAATTCTTTCTGTGTTGTCTTTTCTCTTCGATGGTGATCCTGCGTGTGTTCTCAAAGGAAGCAGCAGCATTATGGATTGTGTGTCTCCAGACCTCTCAATTGGAGGCCAGGGTAGACCAGTGATGAAGATCAATGTGGCCAAGGCTGAGATGTTGTTTCAGGGAGTCCTCGTATCTCCTCTTCGGGGCTCCTCTTTTGCAGCAAGTTCACCATAAAGCATGATCTTAGGGAGGCGGTGGTCCTTCATCCTGGAGATGTGTCCTGCCCAACGCAGCTGTGATTTCAACAACATGACCTCAGTACTTGTGACTGCTGCTTGTTCTAGAACAGATGCGTTAGTTACATAATCTGACCAGTGGATGTTTAGGATTGTACTGAGACAGCGTTGATGGAAACGTTCTAGGAGTCGCAGGTGGTGGCGGTAAATGACCCATGATTCGGCTTTCGGTTCTGGGTTTACCTGACCAAAAGAGTGTGTAACCGGCACCATGTTCCCTAAGGCTGCCTTCCTCGTGGAGATGAACTTCACTGAGAGCAGCAGTGTCGATGTTGAGACGTGATAGTTTGTGGGCAGTTAGGGCAGAGCGATGCTCAGGACGTCCACCAAAAACATTAATAATAAAATACTGAAAAATAAACTTGTCATATGTTCTAGGAGGATGGCATACATAATTAATATGGGATATCTATCTAATTGTTTTCGGGTTGGATGCTTATTGGCTTCACGTAGTACCGTGAATGGGTTTGAAGCCACTTGTGGTGGGCTTGGACTAGTCTGGACCAGCTCAGACTTGTTGCTGCCCTTCTCGATGCTGTTCACTGTGGTTAACGGTGTCTGGATGTATGGCAGAACCCAGATGGTTATGGTTAAAGAATTCTCCTCCTTGGATGCACTGCTTGGGCACAAGTGTCAGTGAAACCCCTTCTGCAGCCATTGATGTTGTAGGCAGGGGGACCACATGGGGAGGACATCTGGGTAGCACTGTGATGCTGAGGGTACGCGTGGCACAGCCAGACCTGCTCAGCTGTGTGTTTTGAGAGCAAGAGGTTAAAAGGACAAGGGTAAACCACGGTCTAAAACAGACTCTTGCATCTGGCAGGTCTGTTCTTGAGTGACACTCATTTGGTTACACCGCTCAAGTGCAGCAAGAGTTTCACCCCTGCCCACAGGCTGACAGTCACACGCTCAATGCAAAGTTATTTTTCTACTGGGCTTTGCCCCTTGTGAGTGTTGTCATTGGAAGTAACAGCAAATTGAGGGACAGAGGTTTATGGGGCATCATGGCCTGTTCAGTGTTTAAAATAAATCTTCTGTGATTAATTCTCCATGAGGCAAAGGGGGAGAGAAGTTCATGCCCTAAACTCTGGAGAATTTTTAGTATTTAATGCTAATTTTAACCCTGAAGCATCAGTGAGTTAAGTAGAGCTCAAAGGGCTGCATTTAGCCTTCATCAGGAAACACTGGATAGCATTGCTGGAGGAGTGGTGACAGCAGGGAGTCCCTATGTGCATGCAGCGGCACTTCTAGAAGAACTAAAGGTTGGTTTTTCCAAGCAGAAATGGAGACACACATGAGTTGGTGACACACATTATGCCACCACATACAGTAGGTGGCAGGAGAGACAAAGTGACAGCTTGTCTGGGGTGGCTGCTGGTCCATGTGCCACAGTAACAAATGAAGGCCTACACCCAATACCTTGGAAGAAAAGTGACATCGAATACAATGCCAAGTGCTTTTGTGAGGTCTGTCATCTGGTATGATCAACACAACAACATAACAAGATGAGAATGTTAGCCACATGTATTGCAATGCCCCCATGTTAAATGCTACACTGTGCACTGTGTCATGTGTTCCTATGATGTCTTCTGGCAGGTTTCAGGGTCTAGAGGTGTTGTGGCAGCGTAAGCCATTCCCAATTACTGTTACTCATCCTCTTTCTCTCCCCACATTGTCCTTAGCCAGCACTTCCCCCATTCCCTCTTGCACCAGACTTGATGCTTATGAACCTGACCATAAGCTGCTCAATGGGGTGAAGTCAGTCAACAACTAACTAAACCAAAGATATGGTTGGATTTTGTGCAACTCAGGGAAGCATCTCACCTCGTGGTCATGAAACTAGTGTTGAGGTAAAGAAGCAAGCAATAGGAAAAAGGGACTGACAAATTCAGGCAATAGAGCCTCACCCTTGATCTCTACCACCCCTGTCAAACAGGATGGAAGGGGTACTTCTTTAATGGATAGTGAAGTAAACACTGGAGACATCTCTAAGCCAACAACTGATATTTTTGGTCTTCTGATTTGCAGTCACATAAAGTAACCTTAAAAGCTTGAAAAATGTATCCTTTTAAAGCATACAAGAGTCTTTTCTAATGGAGAGGGAAACTGAAGAAGTGAAATTAGTGATGTTTTCCATTTGTCTGTTAGACATATGTCTCCTTTTTAGAGGTGAAAGGGATGTTCCTCATCCCACTTCATTTATGGTGAACAGATTATTTCCTTTCTTACTTATGGGAGATTTGGTCTCCCATGGCACACAACGACAAAATCTGTTCTCATGCATGTGTAACTTGATCAAAGTCAATGAGATTATGTTTGTAAAACAGAGAAGGTGATCTGGCTCAGGGTTTGTAACTGGAGAGAGGAAGTACTTTTGTTCATTGGTTTAGAGGGAATTAGTGTATGGCTAAAATATGCTCACCTGTTTGCTGTGCTTTTTTTCCAAGGATTGTTCCCTGAAGGACTTTTGGTCATGATGGAAACATCTTCTTTGTGCAGACCTGCCTTAGAGCCAAAAAGAGCAGACAGCATTTGATTCATACTTGTCACAAGAATGTATGGTACACATACCAGCTTCCAGTGATGACTTTAGTCCGTCCTCCTTTTATCTGTACTTAGACGTAAACTTTGAATTCTGGCGTATCAAAACATGCAGTTGTATGATGGCCTGAATTTTGCATCTTCATATGAGATGAAATCCCGTTGAGCAACTCTGTGACTTGTATTCTGTTTCTGTGCCCACTGGTTTCGTGAGATTGTTGTCAGCATTTTTTCAATATGTTAATGTTGTTTTCTTTGTTGAAGGTGACTGAGAATTAAACTGGTGTTGAAGTTGTATAACTGCCAGTGTAATGTAGTAGCAAGGACAAGACATCTGTTTAGGTGCTGGCTTGGTTGTCTTAGCTGGAGAGCCTGACTGCCCCATAGATACAACCTGAGCAGTTCATAGTGATGAAAAACGGAGGCAGGAACACAGTGATTTATTGAAGGTCATGGGGGAAACCTGAAAGGTTGGGACTTAGTTCTCTTCTTCTCCCCCTGCCCTGCCGGAAGCTGAATCCTGTGATTTCTAGTATGATGAAGTTTACTTCCTCTTCCCCTGAGAAACATGAGATTTCCCATTGGAAAAATATTTGTTCTTATCACAGGTACAGACACACATTTACAAATTTGGAACCAAGTTTGACTCATTGCTACAAAACCACCACATTTAGAGAGTAGTTAGTTATAGCTGTAGTGTGCAGATTAAAAGTGGAAATGGGCTCAAACAACAGTTAGTAGCTGCTCTGATGTTGCTTTACATACAACTCAGATAGTTGAGTATCTGGACCAGAGAGGGACCTGGGCATACAAGTGAGTCGAAGCAGCTTTTGAACTGCTTCATCCCTTGCACCAAGGACAGGTCCTTTGTCATAGAAAAGCCATTTGTAAAGAATGGGACCTTGTTGGCCAAATTTTCCTTGATTAGGCTGATACCTTGCAGATGCTGATATGTTGATAGAAATTGTATGGCTGCAAATAGTTAGTTGGTTTTGTAACCAGGCTTAACTGTATTGCAGAACCAAACGAGGGCTCTGCTTGGTGAAGAGGATCAGGACGGAGTTCCTATTACTTTAAAGCAGTAGCTGTCTGAGGCTAATTATGAAAAACGTGACAAGTTGAAATACTCATTTTTTTAAATGAATTTCCATAAGCAGCTCATAGACATGTTTATGCCCCGCTGGAAGAAGTCTGACTGCACTTTAATGTTTATACCTGGATTGGTGATTAGGAAAAGATTGTTAAACAACTGGAATTTAAATACCAGTACAGCTTCCTTGTAATAATTTCCCCAAAGGCATATTGGTAATTCTGCTAAATAGAGAGTTTAGTAGACTTTAATAACATGTACTTTGGAGACCCTATACACAAAGGAATAATGCATAAAACATTCATTATGATAAACTGCTACCTCTGCATGTAGTGAGGAATCTGTTGGAAGAAAACTGTTGAGTGTGGCAACACATTGTAGGGTGTTAACGGCCAGAAGTCATTGTCACCCCCTTTACCTAGCACTTACTTCACCTGCTGTGATTGAAGTTGCAGCCTGTATTATTTTACACAACAATGAATTAATTATTTGAGGTAGACACTAGTTTATTTTCCGAGTTCTTTGAAAACCAGTGGGCCATGGTGGTTCACAGGGCTGTTTTCCTTTCATGTGCTGGTTCAGTATCAAGAGAAGAGGTACCTGGTAGGAAACACAGAATAACATCATTAAAAAAATTTACATAAATACATTAACATTAAAAAACCAAAAAAGCAACATTAGCAAGTGGCTCTAAGCAAGTTTAGTGTTGGATTTTGATTTGTTTTCACTGTGCTGCTGCTGAGGGTCCTGCTGGAGAACAGGCAAGGAAAAGGAAGGAGCAGATGCTTTTGGTGGAATAGTAGGGCATTTATCTCTTTTAATGAGGTAACATCATTAGTGCTGACAAAGTGCTGCAAATCAATATGTGTAATGGACTGCTGCTGTCTTTCAATAATGCACAGGCTGCTGTACTTCTGACCATTCAAATCTGCTGAATCACAGGTCAGGCTTTATCTCCTGTCTGATGCTAGGTTGGTTTTTTTGGTGGCTTGTTTTTTGTTTTGTTTTTTTGTGTTGGTTCATTTGTTTGTTTTTAACCATTTTGTGTCCCCTCCTCTGATCTTTGCCTTTAATCTCTGAGAACTGGAGCACTCCAGGATATGTGTTGGGGCAGGCAAAAGTGTACCAATTTTCCAAGCATAGGAGCTCATTGAAATGCCACGTGTCTATCGCAGTGCAAGGACCTTCTCTTTACCTGGAAAGACTGAGATTGCTAATATCTCTTTGAGCCTGGTCCCTTTTGCCTAGGATGGCTGCAGGTTTTGGGTTGGGTGGGTTTTTTTTTCCTTTGCACTCTGCCTGTTTCCTTTAGAGCGGTGGTATAATGTCAGGCGCAGTAATCATGTCAGCCAGTGACACTGATGACCTTGACGTTAGTAACAAAGAGCTGCAGAAGAAGGAAGAGAGAGAGAGAGAGGTGACTGTGGCACTGGACAAGGAACATCAGCAGGTGGAGGGAAATCTGCGGGTCAGAGCATTCCTCTGTTCAAAATCCATTGGTGTAAAAACGATATGCACAGTTGTATGCAAGGTGACTAAGGAAAGAAATCCATCCTTTATGTCTCATTTTTCAGATGGTAAACATTACAGCACATTACTATAATAGCTTGAAAATAACGAAACCTCAACCAAATGACTCTAAATTTGAAAAAGTCAGGAGGTTTTAATAATGTCTCTGTTAAAAATTACCTAATACCTCCAGAATTCCCATCAAAACCTCTTACTACAAACAGACAACATAACCTAAACATTTGAGGTATGCTGTGTGTTTATCAGAGGGCCCCAGAGTGACATTTGGGCATCCGTGCTGATTCCAGGAAAAGAGCTTGTCGGTAAAAAAGATTCACCTGAATAGATCACACACATCAGAAAAAAAAGTGGTTCCTCTTTCTTTTTTTTATCTGCATGCCCCTCCCATCCTGGGCTTCCTAACACCTCATTGCGGTGGACGAATATAAACAGAATTTGTAAGAGCCTGATGGTCTCAGCTAAACACTGCAAGGTCATTCCAGTTTTCCTCTTAATTGCTTTTCTTGCTTCCTTCCACACATCTAACGAACCTCTGCAGCATCCTCAGGTGGACTTCCATGTGTTTTTGCTCAGTCATGATCTGAAAGTCTATGGTCACCAGAGTTGATATGAATCCAGAATTGTGGGTCTCTCATTGCTCACCCCTGTTGTGTTACCCTCACACTGAGTAGGGGGACACAACTAAGAGCCAAATAAGGTCACAGCTGGTAGGTCCACATATTAGCCTCTACTGAAGTATTATCTAAGCAACACCACTGAGTGTAGGTTTGGGTCAAGACTAGGTAAAACTCCATTTATACTCGTTCCTTTTGTTAAATTTATTTGGTTTTCCTGCTGGAGAGATCCCAGGGCACACTTTAGTACACCCAGGGTGCAATCAGCATTCCCCATTGCTGAACTGAAAGCATCGTTCTGCAAAGCAACAATCTCGCGAGTCGGTTGTTGCTTTCTCATGCTCTTGACTGTCGTGAGCTGGCAAAAAATAGTGTCCAATAGGTCATAGAAAAGGAATCATCTTGGAAAGCTTTAGAGCTTTTAGACCTTTTTTGTTTTACACACGCACACAGAACATCCCTTTCATAAATCATCATTTCTACCAAAGATTTTTTGTGCTATCTTATTCCAAAAGTAAAACCAGAGTTCACTTACCTCTCCTCCAAGATTGGGACTACAAAAACCTTACACTGTCTCATCCTCCTCTCTTGCTGAAGGCACTCCAGTCCAATAAATAAATACTTGGCTGAGTTTTACTGCCCTTTACCCAGTTAACTAAAACCAGATGCTGCCTTCTTTGTTGAAGGCAAGTCATGCCTACTTCTGTTGCTCCAGCCAGCAGTTTCTCAACCAGCTTGGCCTCTGACAGACTGATTAATTTTTAATGACTCTGAAACAGTTACCAAACCTTTCTGTGATTGATGTATGAAAAGAAAATAACATTGTCATGAGCTCTTAAGGAGAGAAAATAGCTGGTCATACCCTTTTCCAAGACTATAGATGACCCATCTTTTCTTTCATTTCCCTAATAAAACTGGGGTGAAAGTATTGTGATGGAAGGCAAAGGGACAGGGGATGGAAGGGTTTTAAGAAGTAAAGAGCACCTAGTATTACAGGCTTCTGTATTATGATTATGTACTCCTTTTTTTCTCTTTCTCTCTTGTGGATAGTTTATTCAAAGTATTTTAGCACTTGGCACCACTTCTCAAGAGGAGAAAATGCAGATCTGCTTGTCAGTACTGTTTCAGGGCAGGCTTAGAGGTGATGGTGCCACAGTCTCGGCTGCTTGTCAGGTTTGGTGCTTACTTCTCATAGAAAATATAGGGAAAAGCCCTGGTGGAGAAGGGCTGTCAGTCTGAAATTGCAGCACTCGTGGGCTAAAGCATGTTTCCCTGACTTTCCTGGGTGGTCGCCTGGCTTGTATGCAGCACAGGGAAATAGATCTTTTGGAATGTGAAATCGTGCCTTCTGCATTTCTCCCACAAGTATTTTATAGTTTTGAATGGCATGTGGAAAGGAAATGGAGAATAATAGAAGAAAAAACTTATATAACCCTTCAGCTGTGCTTCCTTTCCATACCAAGGTTTTGCATTTAAAGTAAAAAGACCAGTCTTGTGTTGTTGTGAAAATCTTTTTTTGAAGTTTAGTGACGAGGGGTTTTTGTAAATGAGTAAAGAGGGGGTTTTTTTAGTTGTTTTCTCCTTAAACTCATCTCAGTTTATGCAGGTACACTCAGAGAAATGGAATCTGATTCTTAAAAATTCAAACAATCCCTTTGTCCAAGGTAGATTTATTTGATTCCTGATTTTACAGAAATAGGTTGTGAAGGGACCTTGAGTGTTTGGGGATTTTTTTTTTGTTGTTGTTCTTTTCTTTTTAGCAGTAATGTTATAAACTAGTAAGTATCCAGGCTTTTTAAGTATCATATGTGAGTGCTGCATATGGGATTAGAAGAGAAGACTGTATGACCAGCATCTTTTTTTCCTTATTCTCTCGAAGTGACTGCCGTCTACTCACCAGCTCTATGGTCATGGCTCTCATGGTCTCATTGAAGTAACATGTCTTAAGAGACAGGTCCTTTACAGCAGGACTCCTTTCTCCCTCAGGTTCAGCTGCACAGCCTGCAAAAGGCAGCCTGCACATGTAAGAAGTTGTCCTTATAGAGTCTGTGGAGGATCCAGCTTTGGTCCAACTGTGAATCAGCCACTTGAGGCTGAGGATCCTTTGTATCTCCAGGGAAGTTACCTCCCTGTAAAAATAGGATCTTTGCCCTGGTACATACGTTAATGACAGTAAAGTAGTGCAAGAACATGGGGGGTGAATCAGCATGCGCAAGTCAAAAAGAAATACTTGCTTTTCCCCCGGTTCTGCCCTCAGAGGTAGCTTCATCCTCTGGGGACATGATCTTGTTTTTGTGAAGAATGCCCAAGGGCTCAAGTCACTTATTTTCTAAGCTTTGTAAATCTGGGTGTAAGTGTTATATTGTTCGCAAGGTTCCTTGCAGTTCCCTTCTGGGAACCTGTAAAAAGTATGTGTATAAAAAGTACCTCTGCCTTTGCAGTGGCTTTCAAAATAAAGATCTGCTTCGTTAACTTGAGATGCTTCCCCATGGCTTACAGATCTTGGTTTCATCTGGCAAGAGCAATCTATAATCCAGGGATGTACAGGTAAGGGAGCCCTTCAGAGGCTTGTGGAAAAGGAATGATGCATTCAGCGTGATACTTAAAGAAGGTGAATATTCTGACAGTTTCCCACTGTGTCATGCTATTCAGTTTTGAAAACTGTGGCTTGCAGTGATCCTCTCAGTAGAACAAGGCACTCCTGTCGGGCTCCTGGAGGAGCCCAAGAAGTGTACACTTAATTGCTTTGTGAATGATGTGAAGTCTTGGAATGCAATGTAGCCATTGCTCATTAGCTAGCTGAACCTATTAAATCTGGACAGTGAGCAGGACTGAGTCGTCCGCCCTTGATTGCAGGCAGCTAATGGAGCTGTGGGAGCAAGCTGTGACTGTGGAGTGGAATTGGCAGTAGACTCCCATCAACCTTCCCTGTTTTGAACTCGCCCTGCACTCCATTTAGACTTCTGGCTTCAAGACAGATGATTTCAGAGCAGCGAGGAGGGAAACAAGGCAGTGGATGAAAAGTGTTGTCTTCCCAGCTATGTTAGCTTTGATCTGAAGTTAAAAGCAAACCAGAATTCAAATGGCACCAGTAATTTGACATTTAAACCTGGAGAAGCGGAGGGATTTGTCATCTGGCAGTGGCTGGCTTTGATTATTGATTGGTTCTTGTGCAGATGGTTCCACTACACAATGCTAAAACAACAGAAATTGCCCAAATAATATGACTTGGCATCACTTCAGTGTTTTTTATCTTTGAGGGAATCAGCTTCGGTTACAAAGCACACATATAGGTGGTTTGGTACCCATGAAATACATCCGGTCCTGCAAAAAAGCATGGTAGCACTTTCTGGCATCTTCATGCCACACTAGCAGCACAGAAGAAAACAAAATTCAATAAATGTTAATTGAGGATTTTGTTCGGGTTTTTTATAGTAGCTTAAAGAAAAATTAAGATAATTAGAGTTTGCCTAGGAAATTTGAAGCATTTAAACCTTTTAAACACATACGAGCTTCAACTGAAGATGGATGCAGCCCTGGCTATATAGTGTCTACCTCTAGAGCACCCTTGGCATTGCACTGAACCCTTGTTTCAGAGCAGTTTGTGCTGCTAGCTAAATTGCCAGCATCTCATCCTTCAGCACTCACATGCCTCCCATCCAGTTGTACGTTATGCCCAACCTTATTTACCTTGTGGGTTTTGCCAGGATCACAGCTTGGTGGTGTGGCTTTGGGCCCAATCAGACCATCTGTCAAGGAGAAGGGGAGGAGAAGGTAGTGTGTTTGACATGTTGCTTGAAGAAGCGCATGTCCAAATGTGCTTTGAAATCTTTGTTCTACTTACTTGTTCAATACTTAAAAGGTGGTGTATATTGTGGAATTTTTTCCGTCGTGCTGCCTTACTTTGCCTGTTGTGGAGAGATTGTTTCATTTCTAGTCTGGATTCATACATTTTGTTTGTGCTGCTGGCAGATCCTATCAACACCCACTTTTCTCTGATATTTAAACTTTAAAAGATAAAATAAAAATCTTTGGTGTCATAGAACACTGACTTGCTTGTAAAATAGTTCTATATACTGGAGATGCTATTTAAAAATATTGTAGGAGTCTAGTAATACATTAGCATTTTATGCATTTCACTCTGAGCAGTCCCAGAGTACTTAAACTGTAGTGCACAGAACTGTGAAGATGCGGTTCTTAGGATAGAGGCTGTAAACCAACCTTCATTTCCAGAGAGTGTGGGGAGTGATGAGTGCAAGCAGCTTAAAACAAAGCAGACAAAATAAACTGCCTTCTGGAGGAAAATGCGGTGAAAACCACCAACTTGGTTGATGACAGCCAGGAGTTCAGCTCAATATGCTGTCAGAGGTGCCCACCCTGGGACCACAAAGCTGTGTGTGGACCTGCACCAGGACTCCCTTAGCCTGAGCTGCCCTGGGCTTTGCCACAGCTGCAGATACAGCCCCTGGACCAGCACTTGAGGACAGGTATTTGGAGAGGCAGCCATTGAACCATTGTCCATGTGGGCTCCAAGTTAAGAACTTACTGCCTGTAGAAATCTTCACTGTACTAAAAGTAAGTAACTCCTTTGTTTACCAGCAGCTACAGAGTCACCCACTTCAGCCATAGGCTAGGCTGGGCTGAGTTGGCCTGTTGTGGCCCTGCACTGGGAGCAGCATGCAGATGGGCAGCTGCCATATGTCCTTTGGTGGCTGGTGACTCCTTACACAATGCCAAAGCAGTTGTGTCCCTACATGTGCAAAACATGTTTCTCTGCATCGTCCTAGATATTCTTCAGCCCATTTTATATTTGTGTCCCTTTGAAACCAATGTGTGAGTTGATCTCAGATTAGCTATTCTGTACATAGCTCAGCAGAGGGGAGATGTAGAGCTTTAGTGTTAGGACAAAAAAAAACATTTTCAGATGATTTTAAGGCAGCAGTAACATCATTCTGAGAAATTCAGCCTTGCAGAAGCTAATAAAAACTAAAATTCAAGTTTTTATAATGTTTAGCAGAACTAATACCACAATGTGTTTTCTGATTATCATTTCAAAACCTCAGTGACATTTTCTGTGAATGTCCCCATACAAGCACTGGTGTTCACATGTGAGAGTCTCAGGAGCAGCTAGGGGGGAGAACAGTAACCTTACGGGTATGTGAGAGCTCCGTCTTCCAAAAGGAATTACGATGTGGCCGGATGTGATGTCATGATTCAGGGTTCAGTGAGATGACAGCAGACTCAGAGTCTGGTGTTTCTAGCCAAGCAGCATAGCAGCCTGTGCTTCTTTTTCACTCTTAATAAAATGAAGCAATTAATTCTTTTCAGTTTTAAAATCCATCATGTCTAAAAGAGAGAAAAGAAAAAAAGGAAAAAACCCCCACTATTTTATTTTCATTTGACATGACTGTTAGGCAGAAAGAGCCTTCTGATACATTGAGTTGGGAAGTAATTAGTCTTGGGAGTGTAAGATGGGTTATAATCTTAATGTCATTTTACCATTACTAAAATAGGCTAAGTTTGTCCTTTGCTAATCCATGTAAATCCCATTGATTTAACAGTGTTGTATGGATAAAAATAAGAAATGCAGTGGCCTATATTTTGGGATCTCCTTGCCTAGTGTAAAAGCTTACAGAGCACGTTGTTTGATGAAGCAGCCATCCCTCTTGTGCGCTAGAACACCACTACCAAATGCTGGCACAAGCCAGAGCATCACCTGCAGCTGTTGCTGTTTCAGAACTAGTGGGTGAAGCACAAACCCTGTCATTTTCCTAGATTCAGCAGAATATGTGTATGTGCAATTTGTCAGTATGTTTGTAGCAAAAAGGCTAAGAGCAGAAAACATTTCTAGGGATGGTGAAACCTGCTTTAAAAGAAATGAGAGGCTTTAAAAGCTTACACAAATCTTGAAAAATGCAGAGGACTGGACCAAACGTCGCCATTTCAGTCAAGTTTAGAACCTCCACCTACTTAAATGGGAACACATTTAGATTAGTGCTTTGTTCATGGCAAAGTCATCTCCCTAATCTCCTTTGGAGCATTTCTGACTGTGATTTAGGTACAGGGGGAAGGGAAGTCCTTCCAGGCTGAGACTTGTAGCTAAGTTGTCATACAGAGTTAATCTGTTGATTACCACTGGTGTAGATAGATAGGCACTGAATTCTGAAACCTGCTGCTCACTGTATACTTCTCTGCAGTTATTCATTATTTGGAAGCATTCAACCAAGATCTCCAAAACATTCTGGTTTTTAAGCCATTTGCCTAAACCATGGCAGCAAATTCTAGTTGCCCCGGTTGATTTTGCTTTGTTTGTGTGTTTCAGCAAGATCCAGAGAGGTTGTGTCAGTTGATCTATACGCAGGTTCCTGCATTTGTCAAGTAAGTGGAGCAGAAATACGGTTTCCTCCTTTCTCCAGCTCTTTTTTCATTTAATGAAATGGGAAATGTTGAAGCTACTGGAAACCTTGATGTGACATTTCTCAATGCAATGTTACTGTCTCTTAGATTTGGGTCCTGTAAGCAAGTTGGAACATCAAAAGCTCCTGTATCACTGGTCTTCTTTAGTGCTGTTGTTATATGAAGTTGATCAGGAATAAGTGCTCAGGCTAATACATCAGACTAATATATATTTTAAAACACATGATAAAAAGTACTGTCCTGGCAGATGATATTATTGGTAAAGTTGTTGGTAAAGCTCTCCATTACTATAAAGGATCCTGAGTTTGAGTCTACTGAGAGCAGAGGCTCCAATACAACTGTAGCTGGTGCAGTTGTGATTGCAAGTGTGAACGTGGGTGTCAAATAAGTGAGACGAGTCTCCTGGGAATAAACCTGTACGCTCTGTCGTCCGCGAAACCCCCACGTGCTCACCCACGTTGATACCTATGACTGTCGCCTACCTGCTAATGAAGAACAAAATAAAAATCTTCAACAAGGAAGTCTTCCCCCAAGTACTTCATCTTCTGTCTGCTCAACAGGTGCTAAAATAGAAGGCAAGAGAGTTAGAGAAGTGCAGGAGTTTAACTAAGGAGGAGGTGGCCCTGTGCTCTCTGGGCTTCCCACATATCTCAAAGTTATTGCTTTTGGGAACAGGCGTTGGGGCTCTGTTTGAGCTGATGTTTCAGTTGGCTTCCTGATGCTTCAGTCCTTGCCTTTCCATGTCTGCACTTGCTGCTTTTTAAAGTCTAGATTTGAACAAGTGGATTCAAGTCTCTCCGTTTCAGAAACACAGGGCATTTTTATGCTCTTGGTACTTTAGAAAAAAAGCATGTTTCTAGGGAGAAATGATGTACCAGATAACTGTAAATGGCAAAATTACTTAACTTTTCTCAAAGTTATACACTAAACAGTAAGCTTTAAGCAAGAAATTTTGATTAAACCCATCTTACAAACACTTATTGCAGTATACACAGCTTTTACGTGTGTATAAGCTGAGGCACGAAGTAGTTGCTCTACAAGAAAGTTTTTAACACAGCCCCATGTCTCTTGTTTGCTTTAGTCTTTCTGTGGCTGTTTGTTTATTACAGTGTGTTAACTGAAGAGGTAAAATGGGGATGGTTTGTCTTTCTTAAAGCAAGCTGTGAATGGCTTACACTTGCTCAGCCTGTATTTATACTACCTGAGAGTTTGTTATCTTCAAATATCATTAAGCCATCTGTTTTTTATGTTCTTCTGAATGTGGCTTCTTTGTCTTCCTTGTTTCTGTCTTCTGTCCTGATTAAAAGACTGACACCCATTTCTGAATATCTTGGATATTAGCTTTTCTTTTCTCATTTTTTAACCAGAGGACTCCTCTTTTAACCCTGAACTGTTGTTTTTATTTCTTCCCTCTCCCTACCCCATCTCCCACTCTATTCACTAACCTGACTGATGCCAAGGGTGACACCCCCAGTGCAGATAGTGCACTCACCTAATCCATTGTCCATCCTGCAGTTTTCCAGAGTAGCCCATAACATCCTGATTTGGTCTAAATTTTTCATCTCAGTTACCCCGTAAGTACAGTTTTGCTCTGGGGAAAAGTTGGCATGTCCCAGGTACTGGTCCTCTGGGTTAAATTTCCTTTCCTTCTGTGGAACTTGTCTTTGTGAAAGACTGGGCTTTTGCGATGTTGTACAACTTTTCTTTTCACATTGCTGACCCATTTTGGCTCTCCCTTGAATCTGACTTTTAAATGTTGACATTTCAGGCCTGTGGCTTGGCCATCCAAGTGCAAAGTCTGCTCTTACCCATTGTCAGGTCCAAAACTACTTTCTCACGTGGGGCCCAAATGTAGATAACATCTCTCATGTGAGGTAGTATAAATTGTTGGCAAAAGGGACCTCCCTTTTCACTCTCCATCTGCTGACACAAATAGCACCGTAAGTATAGAAGAATATGAGCTAGTTCAGTAGCCAAAAAAAAATTGTCTGAATTTTTTCTCCCAGCTCTGGTAAGTGTTACGTTTCTATGGTTCACTGTATTTAGGGAGTCCTAACATGAACCTGCATAAAATTTGGGTGGTGATAATTTTTAACGTATTAGTGTGCTGGAGACAAGGGAGGGATGCAGTGCAAAATGTCATGCAGAAGAAGGTATGAACAATTTACAGCAGCTCTGGAGACAGAACACAGCTGTTTCTGAGATGTAAGATGTGGTTTCTTTTTTAAGCCAGGTATTGAAATGGCTGCTGTTACTGTAAAATGTGAGTACTCTGCAATCTTTTCATCTTGCAGCATCCTTATCAAGTAGAATGTAAGTGACAGGAAAACAGCTGCTATCCTTTAGCAGCTGGCAGTATGTGGGTACCACCTGAACCCAGCGACCAAAACAAGGCTCCAGTTGACCTCACTGATGGTGAGGTTGTAGAGTCTCATGACCCAAACCAAACTGGTCAAAAGTCATGGTCGTGATGAAAAACAGTAATACAACACCCTGTTGTTGGGGGTTCAGCTGCAGGGGCAAAAATCTATCCTTGAAAAAGAGGCAAATCAGAGGAAGATGGCAAAGTAGCTGTTCCAGCAAAGTATTTGCCAGGTAAGTAGCAGATTCTGTCGTGGGTGAAATGATAGGACCTGCTTTGGTGAAAACTGTGAGCCAGGCAAGCCTCTGAGGAGTTCTTCAGGGAAAGGTTTGGAAAAAAAAACAGCTACAGAAAGTAGGTTTCTGGAACACTGGAAGAAAGGTTGCAACAACAAAAGAGACACAGGTGAAAGAGACAGAGGAATACATTAAGTAAAATCCTTTGAGTAAGCAAACTGTCTGTGACCAGGAATTGATGAAGAGCAATCTTAAGAATGAAAACAAAACTATAATATATTCATGAAGCAAGATGATGATAACTCGGAGGGAGTAGCATTAATTATGACTTCCAAGGCAGAAAAATAGCTTGTAGACTGGGAACCAATTAGTGGTCGATTGCTCTGAACTAGATTTCAAACACAGTACATGAAATGACAATTACACAGTATTACCAACAGACAACTACTGCGATGAGATAAGAGCTGTCAGCAGATTTAGACCAAATTCCTCAGCCTGACATCTGCTTACTAACAGGGAGACTTCTTTCTCAGGGTTAGGGACAGGTTTCAGGTTTCATAACAGAGGAATCAATGACCAAACATGATCTTCTATCTCCAGAGCGATAATGTGGGGCCTGGCAGAGCCCTACCTGCTCTCTAGGCT